AAAAGGCTGCAGTCTGGATATCAGCCAAGGTTGCTGTCTTACCTAATGTCCACCTGGGAAATTATCCAGTCCTAAGCATATTTGGTTGTTGGCAGAATTCATTTCTGTTCAGCCTTTGAACTGAGAGCCTCAGTTGCTTTTTGGCTACTTTCTCCAGGCTACCCTCTATGCCTTGCCTTCCCGACATGGACACTTCACCAAAGCCAACAAGTGAGAGAGGTTAGTATGACTCTCTAGCATATTATAATTGCAAAAGAGACATTCCATTACTTTTGCCATATTTTACCATTTGGTTAAAAGCCAGTCACAAGTCCCACCTATTCTCAAGAAGTTATACAAGTTATATCTCATCACTCCTGACCTTTGTTCCAGCTATACTGCTCTAGTGTAGTTCTCTTCAGGAAGGAAATAGAATGATCTTTTTTATTTCCAAGCTTTCAGTGAAGAGATCATTTATGGTGATGTGGTAGAATTAATGGAACCAATAGTCAGACTCCTAGTGAAACAGACCCCGTTGATACACTGCTCATATCCTCTTTATCCAATCAGTGCATCCATTCCCAAATGGCAGTGACTGTTGGCTTCTAATGACTCACAGCTGCCCTTTTTCTGGAGTGTGTTTGATTGCCAAATCTAAATTTATGCCTTCTCAACCCTAGCTCAAGTGGCACAAATGGAGCCAGAAAAGTCTGAACTCCTTTCTTTAGGGTACAATCAACTTGCTGGGTAAAAATTATCTTTCAGAGCCTCTGTGAAGCCAGGCTGAAGCCAGAATCCCGCTGGTACTACCAACAGGCTTTCCTTACTGCTCTTCTCTCTCTTTTTAGTTAATGAAATGCACCTGGATCCCTGCTTCAGGCCTTGCTTGTAGGCTAGGCACCTTATAACTGGCAAGAAGCCATTACTTCCCATGAACCCGAAGGAGTAAGGTGAGGAAAGGGTATTACTAAGGCCCAGTAAGAGCTGCTGCCTTGGAGGCAGAGTTGCCTGACAGGAACTGTGGGCATTAGTGTGGCCACTTCTAAGAATCAGGGCAAGAGTTGGGCAGAAACATGCTGCTCTCTCCTCCCTTTCCCATGTCTGTATCCCTTGAGTGTAACTCAACGGGAAACTTGCCAGTGACAAGCTGGTGTTCATCAGAGGTAGTGTTTTATGGCCCTGAGCAGAAAGAAGGAAAGAGAATTAATGAGGAAGAGAGGAATAGGTAACAATCAGCACAGTAGTCTCATAGACACACTCTTTTCTCTCCTACAGTCCAACCATCATATTGGTACCATATTGATCTTTAGTAAGTGCTTATTAGATGATGTCTGTTTTCCAGCTCTCAATGATCCAAGTGTTTCCCTTTGCTTAGAGGAATGATCTATAGAATTTATGGATCATATACTTCATTAATTTAAAGAAAAAGCCTCCAAACCTGTGCAGCTTTACCAAAATTTATTATTGTTAACTTAAAATGATTGTGTGTAGCACTCTATGTTTCAAGACACATCCATACTTTTCAGTTGTTCTGAGCGACTTTTGGAAGATCTGATTAGATTGCTACCATTTTAAAGCAAGCACGATGGCTGATGGAATGTGCAGACCAGGCGTAGATGTGCCACCTTCCAGTGTTTTCTTGTCTGCATTAATTTATTCAATCAGAGATTTCTTTACAGTAATCCATTTGTAGAGGGGATACAGAGAAAACTATATGCTATCGTCTGAAACCCATAAAATCAGGTACATGGAAAGCACAGATGTAGTAACCTGGAAATGACTAACTGCGAGAAGATGAGAGTCGTGACCCCTCTGTTCCGTGTGACTCCCCCAGTCCCCAGAAGATACGTGATGAGCCACATATGTCATGTGATCCTGTGATATGTACCAAGAGAGGACTTCTATGGAATATACGATTCCCAGACAGCTAGCTGATGCTTTGGAGAGAACACTGATTGAAGAATAAATTACCCAGGGCCGGGGATTTAGCTCAGTGGTTCTGTAGCCTGCCTCACAAGCACAAGGTCCCAAGTTAGATCCTGGTCAAAAAAATAAAAAGAATAAATTGCCTGTATTGGCAAACTGATAATAAAGCTGCTTCACAGTGGTAGTGGAGCAGACACCATTATCTTACTTCTTGTGAAGCCTTGAGAAGTATGGGCTCATGTGCATGAGTCCTCAAATAAACTGCTGATTCAAACGGTAGCTGAGTGCTCTTAATGAGAGCGTGCTATGCCCAGATCATGTGGGCTTCAAAGGTAGGTGGCATTTAAAGGTGCAAGTCAAACTTTGGCCTTAAAGTAATAATAAGACATCTAAGAGGTTTCCATTTGACGGTGGGAGGTAAATTATTTAACCGAGGGAAGTCAGGTAATATTGTAATAGTAGGTACCACTTTTGAAGCACCTACTATAAAACAAGTATTATGCTGATCACTTTACATATATTATTTTACATACTCTACAGCAACTCTTCATGGCAGATTTTGTGTTAGACAACTTAAGTACCCTATTTGTGTCACATAGAGAGTGAAGGAGCCAGATTTCTCACTATCTCTTTGATAGATTCTTTTTTGCACTGTTCCCCGCAGTTAAGCCTGGTGGTAGAGAAGAGGTCCTATTCTGTAGGAAGAGTGTGTGTTCTCTAGAATGGCAGCAGTGTATCTGGAAGGGGATGGGCATGCGCCTCCAAGGAGAGGGACAGAAGAGTAGGGGTGAATCCTAGAGACAAGAGGGGTCAGTCAGAATGGCAGAGGAAAGCAGAGTTCAGAAAGACACTGACTAAAGAGTAAGTTTCCCTGGTGTAAATAATCTACAACAATGCATAAGATTCTAATAAGATTACTGACATTTAGAAATGGGAAGAAAGGAGCTAAAGATGTAGGGAAGGTGGGATGGGTAGGGGAAGAGTAAAAAGGGAAAAGAAAAACGTGAGAGAATGAAAAGATGAAAATAAAGTGTTTGTAGATGGGGAGGGGAGGAGGGGGTGAAGGGAGGGCAGAGGTAAGGGGAAAAAATGAGAATCAAGACTTGTCATGTAGAGGTACAAGATCCCAACAATGACTGTAACTGTACTGTATCCCTAAAATGTACCAATAAACTCAATTAAAGCTGAAAAAAAAAAAGAGTAAGCTGTCCTTACTAAGTTGATAAAGAGAGTTCACAGCATATTTCCAAACCTGTTTAAACATCAAACCATCTTCCTCCTGGCTGATTCTTTTTTTCTCTTTGCTTTGTTATAAATTTCATTTCATGTATGCTTTGTCTCCTGTGTTTCTCAAAACTCATAAAAATGGAAGGATAATTTGTTAAGCTGTGGATTTATGATTTGTGCATTTTCTATATTTGAATAGCATTTATTTTGAACTAAAAGGGAAGTCTGACTCTGTACGGAGATTGAAATAAATGAAGACTATTCAGTGTATCCAGTGTTTGAACATTATCCAGAGATTTGAACATTTCTCCAGCTTTGGATTTTATACATAGTGAAAATAGTATAGAGCTGGGAGGCAGAAAACTGCCGTTGTAGCCCCGGCTCTGTCATTAGAATAATTATGTGATACAGTTAAGCTGCCAGGCCTCCCCAGGCTTGAATATATAATATGTGTAAGACAAATATCCCAAAGTCCCTCTTAATGTTCAGTTTGGTAGAACAGAGCAGTTCTCATCCTCGAACATAATTCCACAATGCTGCTTACTAAAAAGAAATTGCAGCTCTTCTCAGGCACAAATTCAGCTTACATATTATTTTAGAACTGGAATTGGTAAATATTTTCTGGCTACAGAGTGAGTATTTTTGGCTTTGTGGGCCATGTAATCTCTGTTGTAGCTACTTAATCCTACTGAAAGCAACAATAGACAATACATAAATCAATGATCAATGTGTTCCAATACAACTTACTGTGTGTGTGTGTGTGTGTGTGTGTCTGTGTGTGTCTGTGTGTCTGTGTGTGTGTGTGTGCAATACCGAGGCACAGCCATTACCCTAGAAGAGATGGAGGGATGTACTCATTTGTACAAGTATAGTGCTGAGCACCAAGGGAAAGCCAAATATTTGCAGAAGGGAAGGAGAGAGGATGGGATTGTCTCTATTTCATAAATGAAGAATTTTCACTCTAAGGCACTAATGCCAGGTGAAGTTGAGGAAGCCATTGATGTTTTTCCCAATACAGAATGCTGTGAGAGGATCCTGAATTTCACACCTGAGAGAATCTTCCAGTGTCCTTACATGTCTAGTCCTCTTCAGAGAGGGAGGAGAGTTTTGTAGGCTCTGGCAGATCCCAGTGACCCTGGGCCTCCAGGAAGCAGTGTTATTATGAAGAGTATCACATCTGTGGCTGCTGTTTCTGTGAATTCAGAATCAGAGGCTTCATGCTCTTTGTCTGTTTTTTTGTTTTGTTGTGTTTTGCCCTTTTAATTCTGAGTTCTAAAGGGGCAGGTGGGAGCCTAGAAGGGAAAGGTGAGAATAGATTTGGGCATTAAGACAAGAAATTTGGCACTGTGCCTCTCTTGTAGCTGACTTGCTGAGGGCACCTTGAGAAGGTAGGTCAGAGTTGAGGGGTGAGAAATTAAGGTAGGGTGATTTACTCCTCTACTCTATCACATAGGAGAGTTGGATTTTTAAGGAGTCATAAAAACTTGAGATGTGATTAAACTGACTAACAAATCTGTAAATTTTCACACAAGCCAGGTACTTAATGAATACAGGGCTACACTACAGCTTGCGGTCTATTTGCACCAATTCATTAATTTATTTTACAGACTAAAAATTTACTATGCAAATCACACAGGAAAAGAGTGTTCTTAGCCAAGTGTACCAGCATCTGAGGTTTTTGTTTTCATCTTTTGGTTTGTTTGTTGTTTGTTTCACTGAAACCATTCCAATTGGGAAGTGAGATAATAAATATCTTTAATATTTGAAACTGCATGTTGAATAATTTTCTAAGCAGCAATTGGAAGTCTTTCTTCTTTGACAAATATTGCAGTGATTGACACTTTTTTTTCTTGTCTTGTCTAAAATAGAATGAAGAAGATGAGCAACATTTATGAGTCAGCTGCCAACACGCTGGGAATTTTTAACAGCCCCTGCCTGACCAAAGTTGAGCTGCGTGTGGCCTGCAAAGGCATTTCTGACAGAGATGCTCTTTCCAAACCAGACCCCTGCGTCATCCTCAAGATGCAGTCTCACGGGCAGTGGTTCGAGGTAGGCATGTCCAACCAAACACACAGGAACATGGTTGGATGGTTGGTTCCATTTTTTTTTATATTTCCCAGTTTAAATTGGTTTATGTTGGTAAGATGGAAAAGTCTAAAAATGCATACGACTTTTTTTTTTATGTCATGATGTTTTAATGTGGCTATTTTGGTACTGTGGGTATTTTGACATTTACCTGTAATTCACAAGCCTAAAACTTGTGGGGTACTTTTGTTAATTGCCAAGATATAATCACAATGAAGTCTTTATCCCACACCCAGTTGTTGGCAAAGGGAAATTGGCAGCAAACACATCAGAGACAGGCAGGCATCAGACCCCAGGCTAGGTTTGAATGAGGAAGCTGATATTCCAAAAGTTGAGTCCAGAGACAAACTTTTGTGGCCAAAGCAGAATTCAGATTATGTTTCATTAGACTCCTGGAAATGGCATCTCTGCAGGAGCAAGTTTTGGTGTTGAGGAGAGAAGTGACTATTCAAATGGATTTAGCGTAGTGGTAGATGTTTTTCTGTAGGTCCTGGGCTGAGAGATGGAGCCAGGAAGACTGGTATGAACAACGGCCCTATGATGCCAGTTGTGGTGGCACATGCCTATAATCCCAGCCCTTGGGAGGCTGAGACAGGAGGATCTCTGTGAGTTTGAGACCATCTTGGGCTACATAGTGAGTTCCAGGTCAGTCTCAACTACGTAATGAGACCCTGTCTCAAAAAAACAAAAACAAAAACAAAAACAAAAAAATAGCCCTATGGAATACTTGGCCAGCTCTCTAGCTCTGGCAGCTGGGTTGGGGTATGGGTACTTATTATCCAAGATGGTTAGATGGAAGAAGGATTAACGAGCAATCCTAGAGATTAGTCCTCTTCTCAGGCCCAAAACAAGATGATAAGGAGGCTGACACCAGTCTCTATAGTGAAAAAAGTTTTAAGGAGGTCTTGGACTCTAATAACCCAGCATCCAAGAGCACCATGGCGATAGAAGCCAGTGATTGCCTCAGGCTGGAGCCGTGATTGCAAGCCCCAAAGATTGGCAGGACTGAGTTGGCTGGAGACTGGAGAAAGATGAATCTTGCCTATGGTAATTGTGAGATTTAGCAATAAGGAGTTTAGGATGGTGGAAGACAGAGGAAGGAGTTGAGGACCTATAAGCTCATAGTGCCAGAAAGCAGTTTTAACAGGCTTTGGAAGGTTTCTGATCCACTCAGACACCCCTCAAAACTCGTGCGTAGAATATACACTAAGAATGTGTCCTAACACACACTTCTTCCTGTGCCTGTGTAAGGCGGCTCACTGGCTTGAATGGAATAGTATCACTGTGAATCATTCGCCAGAGTATACCAAGTTCTCAAATTGTCAAGAGATGACTTGATGTTTTATCTCAAGTTTATTTTGGAAAGATTTACTCATTTTTATTTTTTTGCCGGTTAAGTTCCAATACATCAGGGGCCTAGTGGAGAAAAGCTGTAGGGAAAAACAGTGGTATTCTTTGTATCAGCGGTGCTGCCCTTGGCTAGATGTTTCTCTGACTGGTGCTCAAGTAGGCATGGTGATACCTGGGGAAGGGCAGGAATGATGACCTTTCAGGGGACACAACACACAGCATTTGTTTTTGGGACTGAGAACTTAAAAACAATACTAGCTAAACTTTATTGGTTACTTTACTTTTACTTTTACTATTGGTTACAGTATGTATTCTAAGTGCTTTATGAGAAATAATTAATTTAGTCCTCAAAACAGTTGTATATCATCCCCAGATTATAGATGAGGAAATTGAGAGACAGAAAGATTAAGGATTTGCTCAGGACTGTTCTGCTTGTAAGTGGAAAATCTAATGTGTAAGCCCAGAGTTGAGTTCCAGAACCTGAGATTTTTATAGCTATTTTATATTTATGATATAACATAGATTTCAGTCTTCAGTGGTTTGTGTGGCAATTTTGCAGGTTGAACCATACAAAGAGAATGTATCATTTACGAAGAAAACTAATTGGATATTGTTTCTAGGTACCTGGACTAAGTAAACAATGCTTTTAAAGATCCGGCCTGAGGTAACAGGGGAGAGGGACATGCAGAGGAAGCCATTGTTACCTTTCCTGAAGGAACCCCCGAGAGCCCAGTGTAATTTGAACAAGGGCTTGGAGGCCATGCTGAGTACAACATGAAGAGACAGACGCCATGGGTCCATCTCTTCAAGCCTTCAGCACTCCCTCCTCCTCCTGTTTCTAGACAGCTAGGAGGTGTTGCTCCAGGTTACAGTCTTCCCTCTATGACAGAAGAATCATGTTTCCTTATATGTAGAAGTGATACCAGCCCTTCTCTGAAAGGGAAGTTGGACAGTGTTGGAAAAGCAGATGGAATTCCAGAGAGGAGGTCACAAGCGTGAGGAACAAATGACACATAGGCAGACTGGCGTCATGATTTCAAACCATGCCTAGCCAGGTCTTGTATTGTAAACAAAAACAATGACACACTGATGTCCCAGGGTGTGGTATTTTATTTCCTATAAATATTCTCATTGATTTTGTTGATACATCTATGTATCCATCTTCTCCAGTAGTGGAGATTTAACCCGAGGCCTCCTGCATGCTAGGCAAGAACTCTGCCACAGAACGACACTCCCAGCCCTCTTTTATTTTTACTTAACAAAACTAAATGGAATGCTTACAAAGGAAACAGAGCTGTTTTTGAAAGTTACTGAAAGTAATTTGTCTCGTAACAGTCCCTTTACATAATTTAACTATTATTTGTATATATTTCTTTTCAGTCTTTTCCTTCCAGCACACCCATGCTTTCATAATCTTTATCATGAGTGCAAAATTTTCTTTCTTGTTTTATTTTGTAATATATGCTTTTTTTCATGTTGCCACAATATTGACAGTTGTAATTTGTACAGCTGCATAATAGACCATCAAGTAGATTTACAACATAATTTTTCTTCTTTTTTTTTTTTTCATTTTGAAATTGCTTCCAAAAATATCCTATTTTAAATGATACTATGCAAACATCTTTCTGCAGAAGACTTTTTCCTTCTTTTGGGAACATTTCTAGGAGATATTCTGCCAAAATAGAACTAGAAAGACAAAGGGCAAGAAAAGTTTAAGGCTGTTTTTTTCTTCAGGTCTTCTTTTTCTTTTTATTAAGTTTATTGGTACAATTTAGGTATACAGTATTTATATTCATCATTGGGATCTTGTGCTCTTACAAGAGTTATCTTGGTTCTTATTTTTCCCCATTTCCCAGCCCTTCCTTCATCCATTCCACCCTTTTTACAAGGCATTGTTTCCATATTTTTCCTTTCTACATATTTTTTCTTTTCTCTTTTTACCTTTCCCCTACCCCTCCCACTTCCTCTACTCTTTCAGACCTTTTCTTCCTGTTACACAATATCAATTATACATTTGATATACATTGCCAGATTGTATTTCCAAAATGCACTAATACATTGCTGTTCAAAGTATGGTCTGCACACAGCTACTTGTCAACAAACTACAGTGAGATAAGAATCTTGTGCCACAGTGTAAATTGATTCACTGCTTCCTTTTTCCAAAAGTCTTTATAACTGATGATATCAGCTTACTTTCCAGCATACTTAGTTGTATGATTGATTTATTTTCTGGTACTTCAGAGAAGTAACAACTAATTTTTCTATCTTAACAATATATATTCACTTAGTAGTCTGGAGAATGGAGTCCATGCCAGAAAGCTAACAGAAAAAATTTAATTCAGGTAACTAGCTACATAGCAGTTGGAAATGGGGACTGTGAAGGAACTCAGAGATTAACAATAGGAAGCTAGTACTTTGTGTAGGGCTGGAAAAGTATTGTGCTGGAGATGGTTTGTATAGTCTCCTGGAATCGAATTGTTAAATATTCAGAAAGTTTGTATGCCAAGATAGGTTTATACCATAAGCACTGGCAAACATTTGAAATTTGGCCTTCTTTTCCCCTAGAAAACAGTTTTTAAAGATGGGCCAACATATCACTGGGCTCATTTCAGATGGAGGAGATTGCAGTATCCAAACCAAACTGGGTCATCTAACAGAAGCTGTATCCATCCATAGAGGGGCTTGTCTCATGGGAGCTAGAGAGCTAGAGGAGATGCAGATAGAGCTGGAAATGTTGCCCTGAGGGTACATGGGGATACCTGGCATTTCTCTTTCTGTTGCTCTCTGATCACCTATCGGTGCCTTCCATCAGGCAAACTTTGCTAGAAGCTAATTGGCAAAGTTTGCAGGAAAAGGATAATAGTACGCATTTGATAGCAAAGAAGTAAATGACCAACACATAAGTGGGCCCACATCTCACGTTAACTTGGAGAATCATTCACACAATCTTCAAGTAGTGCACATTTGTTTAGGGACAACATCTGCATTTGGTACAAGTTCAGTGAGTGTTCTTTTCCTCCCCACACCTATGCCGCAGTGAGAAGCACCCGACAGACTATTCAGATCAAGTTGTTACCACAGTATGTGTTTAGAGAAGATCACGAGCATGAGCAGGGCACAAAAACTAGAATTATTGATGTGTGTAACTTTCTCTTAGTGTAGCCTACTCTAGGATCATATTTTTTCACTTCCTTGAAAATGCCTGTATTTCTATATAGAAATCTAGGTTTTCAGTACATAAGTGAGAAATATGTGTGTAACTTTCTCTTAGTGTAGCCTACTCTAGGATCATATTTTTTCACTTCCTTGAAAATACCTGTATTTCTATAGAAATCTAGGTTTTCAGTACATAAGTGAGAAGAAACCTTACACAGAGTTCATGATGGCTGTATCAGTTCCCTCAGTGCCTTTGTGATAGATGGAAGATCTAGAAAATGAGGGTGGGGACAGCAAACTGAAGCTGACCCTATTTGCATAAGAAGAGGTTGTTGAGGATTATCTGGGTGAGCGAGAGGCTCTATCTACCTCAGAGTTGTCCAGTTCAGCTCCCTGCAATGATGGAAATGTTCCATATCCCTCTGTCCGGTAAGGATGCCATGAACCACATGTGGTAA